GAAGCAGAGAGAGAGCAGAAAGAGAAAGTGAGAGAGGTTAAACAGAAGAAAGAAAGGTAAGATTTAGTCTAACATAGACTAGAACCTCCAAGCAGTGAAAAAAATCCATCTCTCAAAGTGTAATTCACACAGAACTAAAACATTACCAAATCTTCAGGTAACTCTGATGAGGCTTTTTTTTTTTTCCCCTTAGTCAGCCTCTTAAGAGGAAAACAATTAGACAGCAAAGAGAGAAAGAAGGAATTGAGAAACAAAAGAGCTGCCTGTATGGTGGTTACTAATGTTGTTTCTGACAACTTGACTGAAAGAAAGACAAACAACAGTTACCACAATTGGGGCATGGTGTTTATAACCCTGCAGGCACCCATGATTCACCAGGTTTTGTTTAATCACAGTGAGCTAGAAATTGCTTAAAGGTGCGATTAAGAATTTGGACTCATTTTAAGTTGTATTTCCCTCCTACAAAACCTAAACCACATCCCGGTGAGTTAAAACCCAATACAGGGTTTATAAAATTAGGGTGAAATGCAACTCAGAGTTAAACTTAGAAGTATCAAACAATGATCTATTTGGGCAGGGAAAAAAATAACCTTTTAAATTATATTCTTTTCTTTCAGCACACAGTGTAGTGGTTGTTCCTAAGATGAACCATTTTGGGTAAGCAGTAATCAAGTCAATGTTCCCAGACCCATAAAGAACTGCAAAAAATGTTTAAATTATAGGAGACAAACTAGGGAGATCATTAGCTCTTAATCATTCACTAAAAGCGTCAATGCTTTTTATAAGCCGATCTACAAACCAAAGTTCTCACACTATTTTTTCTCTCCCCTCCTTACAAAAGTTGGTAGTCAAGACACTGCAACCTTTATTAGCGTAATTAAAAGCCTCGTTTTGTTCTAGAGAATTCTTTGGAATGGTTCCTCCAGGGGCATTCACCAGGAGCAGCAGCACAGCCCAGTTGCTTTAGACTTCTTTACGCAAAAGACCCACAACAGCATATTTTTAGAGCATCTGGCATGTTGGGATTTAGACAATTGTTACCATTCAGTTCAACCAGTGGCACCATGAGTCCAATTCAGCGACTGTGCGCATGCCAGCTTTTCTTAGAGTGTTACGCTGCTGCACCCACTGTCAGCACATCTGATTAAAATACGGAAAGTTTGCTTCCCATTAATCTGCTTGGGAAAATAAGAAAAATCAGAGCTTTCTCCAGGTTGCTGGGGAGTTATTTGACTCCCCACCCCGCCCCCCCCAGCTTAGTTTTTGTATCTGCAGGAACCAAAACCTGACCCAGGCATTTTTTGATCCCTCAAGGACCAATACAGAACCAGTAGAGTGTTGCAAGTCAGATATGAGGGGCATTAGCCAGCTGTGGGAGAAAGACTGAACGCTGCCTGCCTGTATTATGTCTGGCTCAAATCTAGACAGTGTGTCTCACTTTACTGAGCAGTAAAAAAAAAAAAAAAAAAAAAAAAAAAAAAAAAAAAAAAAAAAAAAAAAAAAAAAAAAAAAAAAAAAAAAAAAAAAAAAAAAAAAAAAAAAAAGAAAAAAAAAGGAAAAAGAGAAAAAAAAAAGAAAGAAAAAAAAGAAAACTTCTAGTGCCGTACCTCTTAGTTTCTATCTAAACTACCTCATGTAAGACACAGAACTGCTTGGAGTTAAGACTTCAGTTAGCTTTGCTCCAGCTTCAGGGAACCACCGTCAATGCAAAAAAAGTATAATTTAAAAAAACATTTGCACTCACAAAGGCACTGCAGTGTGGAGTCTTTTTTTTTTTTTAAGAGTTGGAATCAGCTAAAATGTAACATGCAAACACCAGAGTAAATGAAAGAAAAAAGATGTCTGAGGTTTCTTAGCTCTGTGAACTAACTTTATTAAATATCCTATATAAACTGCTAACAGTTCCATATGTTGCAAAATGACTGCAGTATTACCTTAAATGGAGGAGAATAGCCATCACTTTGCTGGTGTTTGAATAATCTGCCTATTAAAAGGTAGGGGAGGGGTAGAGGCTGGAGCTACTATTTCCCTTTGATTCTCTCTTAACCCTCACTTTCCAGAGTATGACAAAGACTCTGAAACAAGCTTTGAAAGAGAGCTGAACAAAAAAAACAACAACAAAAAAAAGAATGCAGTGCTAAGTCACCATAAAGCTTCCCATAAAACAAAAGCAGTATTATTTTTGTCATTGCTCCCCATTTGGGAATTTTCTCTGATAAACATTTCCTCTAGGAGCCTGAGCATAAGCATAAGCGTTACACAGTAGATAGGAGGCGCCATAATTTTCATTCAGTAACAAAATAAAAAGAATTGTCTCACCTTTGAACACCGCTCCTGTCTCTTAAACACACATTGGAAATCTGTGGAATCATCTCCACAACTTTCTTGGTTGGCTCGGAAATGCTGCTTTGACAATCTGAGTGAGTCTCCTTTTGCTGCAATAGCTCCTGTTTGGCATATTCTTTGAGCCTCTTGTACAGCGTGCGCAGGCCCTGTGCAGTACGAGGAGGGCGATCTACTCCGATGGCATTGTAGTTATCAGCTATGATATCCCAGCATTTGTTTTTTTCCACTATTACAGAATGCTTATTGGTATGTTCCTCGAGAATTTTAACGTACGGCTTCACGAGTTTTAGCAAATCGAGCTTTTCAGATAAGGTAAAATTAGAAGATCTGGCCTTCCCAACCATTGTTACCTTTGAATTAAGGAAGCCGTTCCTGGAGCCACCATGCAGTCCCTAGCTCTGCTCAGCTCTTTTTCACAAACAGAAAAAGATCAGGCTTAACTAGGCTAGTCTCATTTAGGCCCACGCCTACAAGGGAGGGTTTATTAAAATTCCTTCAGCTTAAGCTGACGCAGGTTCAGGAAATCTGCTTAAGCCAAGCCTGACCTACATAAGGCTTCAGACTGAAGAAGGCGAGAAGAAACAAGCAAAATACACTTTTGTATGAAGAGACCAGACATACGCAGGATTTAGAAACATAAAGGTTTAAAGATTAGCACGTTACCCAGCTAAAAATTACCTAATTTAGCTTGAGTAACAAGCTCTGACACATCTCCCCAGCTCCCTCACACGTATCTCAAACTGAAACCGTGCTGGAGATGATTTTACGTGTAAAACGACGTCCCCCAAAAAAAGCAACAATTGCTTTGTGCGAGGCTCGGCGCGTTACGGGGCTGGGGAGGCGAGAGGCGGCTGCGTGTGGAGAGAGCCCCGGCAGAGCCCCCGGCGCCATTTGCATAGAGCTGGTCCTGCTGTCAGTCACCGCGGGGCGGCATCTCCCCCAGCCGGCTGGTTACGCTCGGGCTTCGCCGCAAAGCTCGGCTTCTCCCGCACTTGGCAGCCGGCGACAGCCACCCACACGGGGGCTTCTTAAAGAGCCCGCTGCGCCCCCGGCCGGGCTCCGGCACCGAAGGGAGCGGCACGAACGCCCCGGTGCGAGGGGGCCCCGAGCGCCGCCGCGCCGGCCCTGAGGCGGCTCCCGGCGAGCCCCGGCCCGCGGCATCGCCCCTCGGCCGCGGGCTGCCAGGAGGCACAAGGGCTGCGGCCGAGCCGTGACGGATTCACTGAGTGCGTTACAGCGTGAGGGTACCGGGGTTTTCCAATATCCACCAGCAGACAAACGACTTCTATCATAACACATCCAGGCATTCTTTCAGGATAAGAAAAAAAAAAAAAATCTGATTTTTGTTAGTAAAACGTGCCTGCATTCCTAATGTCTGCCCTGCTCAACAACGTATTACCTTAAGCCAAGTCTTCACATAAAAACGCATGCAAGGCTTTACATTTGTGTGGTCTAAACTAAATCAACAAATGAGAGAAAGAGAAAAACCTGCAGACGGAAGGAGAGGAGCTCTCAAGCACAAAAAGCAAAAACTAAGTTTGAAAAATTATGTACTCCACTGAAAGAGTCCGGAGGGTGGAAACAAACACCATTTGAGATAGTGGCAACAGCTTCCTAAGCTTAACATGTTCAGCCTTGAAAACAAGGGAGCCTAGAAGCAGGTCGGGGGGGCGGGGGGGGAGAGGGGGGAAGGAAAGAGAACTAATTATATAGCTTGAAATATCCTAAGGCTATAAAGATCTAGGTATAAACTTGTTTGCTCTAAGGGGAGAAAACCCAAAGTAGACACAAGCCACATTCAAAACAAGAAATTCACATTAAACAAAAGGAGACTTTTAACTGCTGAAAATCAATTAGCATTTAGAATAACAAGCACTTCTGGAACCATTTCTGAGACTTGGCTTTCCTGTACCACCCAACGAAACTGCGACCGGTCCACTTTGCTGGAATTGCTTTCAAAGCCAAGATTAAATAAAGCATTTTATAGTCTGAAGGCTATTATACTCAAATTTGAGAAACAAAATACTCTTGTGGTTAGAAGCACTGTATGAAAACCATCACTTTTAAACACCTAATCCTTCCCTATTTCCTCTCAGTTTGCACTTTACTAATATCAAGAGTAGAAAGCTGGTGGTTATCCTTCCCCCCCCCCAACCCCCCAGTTTATGCAATTCATTGTTCTGGCAGTATCAGAATTAAAGAGTCAGAGGGGCAAGCCTACGCTGTACCGTGTGCTGTTGAAGCCGTTGTGCAGTGCTCACCCAGTCCCTTGACTTTTTAGTAAAAAAAAGAAGTCACTATAAGGTTGTGCGATTAAAGGCTCCTCCCTGCAGACACAAGGAGCACAGGTGAAAAGTGTCAGGCAGAGAAACCCACATAACCCAAATGAAAGAAACCAAGCCCTCAGTCCGGCCACTCCCAGGGCTGAGGGTGCAACCCAGAGGGACAAGTTCTGAGGAGAGGTTCTCTCTAGGCCACCTTGCAGACTGAAGGAGGGGCTTACTACCCACTGGGTTGGGACTCATTGTGAGATGCCAGGAAGAGTATTTTGGGATTGCAGAAGACAGTACAAGATATTTATAGAAAGAAATTAAGGCAAGACAAGGGAGGGTAAACCATGGAAGTGGCTTGGGACAGAACAAGCGCAAGAAGATACGGGGTGGGGGGAGGCATAAGAGGGACCAGGTGCATGTAGTAAACAGGTGGCTGCTCAGTATAGTTGTTCATCCATGCCCTGCACCTGATCACTGCAGATTGTACTAGCTTCTTATTACACTACATTTGCAACAAACTATTTTCCTGTGTGGAGGCAATCTTCATTCTGTGTAACAATATATGGAAGCAGCAGCTGGAGTTGTACCGCGGGTCACAGCGGGCCAGGTGCTGAAGGCATTGGCAAGCAGAGAGGCGAGAGCCTTGGCACACTGCCTGGATACCTGTGTGTGTGACCTCTGGCAAACACCAAGCCAGACTAGCCAGGCAGTAGGCTTGGGAGCAAAGAATTGGAGTGACCGTTAGTCTGGGCCAGACACTGCAGAGACCAGAAGGCCTGAGATTCAGCTGCTGGAGGGACACCAGGACACCTGGGGACTGGCCACTGGCAAGGTCATAAGCCCAGACCAGCTGCCAGAGAGACCCAGTGCATATTTGTGAGACAACTGGGAGGCAAGGGAATCCAGGGGCCAGTAACTGAGCAGAATAAGAATTTAAGGCCACTTGCTGCTGGACCCACGTCATATACATAAGTATTTCCCATAAACAGTTTTCATCACAGTCAGTCAGTGAAAGGAAAGGATGAGGCCATTGAAGCTGCTTGTGTTCGTGCAAGTGCTGCATTTTGTGATGTCTAACTGTATATACACATACAGCGTGCACATGTGCTGCTTAGGTCCTGGCCACAAGGAGCTGCAGCAGTCTCCCCTATAATGAGCTATCAGATGCAGCAACTCCTTATATTAGACCTATCTAAACTTGTATCACTCTATCACTTTACTCTTAGTGTTGTTAGAGACACCATGTTTCCACACTCATGTAATTATAGCAAAATACTGCTATAAAGTTTTCTCTTGAGCAAGTGCCTGACGGAATGTCTGAATTACATATTGTTCTGCATGAGTGTAAAATAACCCTTGTAAAAAATGAAGCTGGCTGCCGACCAAGATTTTTTCCTTCTTTTTTTTTTTTTTTTTTCCTTTTTAAAATAGCTCTGCTCATCAGCCTAAGGTCATACCAGTACTTGGATGAGAAATCACAGAAGGTGGAAAGCCTCGATATTAATGATACATCCAGACTTTGAGCTGAAACAATAGGTGTAGGTCCAAGACCATTACCAAAAAAAAGTTTCTACAATCCACCCTTCATCCTACACCTTCAGCTACTACTACCACCACCACTTGCCCTTACACAACACAGGGCACAGCCAGTTCAGCAAGATGATCCAGCTACAGAATAATCAATTTATTTATTTATTTATTTTGCAAGCATAATAATTTAATAATTGGTTTAAGTCAACATAAATGTGGGACATTGCCAAAACAGTAATTTCTGTCTCCCCCCACCTTTGGTATGTCCCTGCCCCTTCACTGTGCTGGTATGAGCACTCACAAATCTTCTGAGCAACTCAGATCAGGGAACTGATTTGTCCTCGCATTAATACTTTTTTTCTGAGCTGGGTTAGTAGTTCCCTGATCCAGTATGCCACAGGACAAATAATTCACAAAAAAAAAGCTTTTTTAGCCTCTTATATGGATGACTGTAGCGTGAATTGCAAATCATATTCTTAAAGACTTGTATTAACACAACCGAGAGGACAACAAACCACAGGTAGCAGTGAGGAAATTCTGGTCACTGCTGAAGAAAATAAACATACAGGCACCCCTCACATCACTGTCTTCTATACTTCCCATTTTAATCCTACAGACAAGGTACAGCTCATTTATCCTTCATATTTTTAAGGTGGAATTCACCAATTTCAGAATTCTGAAAACAGAAGAGTTTTGCATTTGGGATTCAGCTGCGATCAGAAGATTTGTCCAGGGAAAGAAAAATCAGCGTGATTATTCAAAATCCAAGCAACAGTCCCTTGCTAAGTTTGCTTAACTTCAACAGTTTGGAAATAAGACTTAGAACTACAGGTAACAGGAAAATTCAGGAGTTTTGCTGTGAAAATGTCTAGAATTACTACCAAAAAGATAAAAACAGTCCAATCTGGAGAGCTATTTAGATTAATTAATCACAGCTATAACACAATCAGGGATTAAAGTAGCCAAATCACCGTGAATTGCTGAAAAAGCTCAGGGGGCACAAATTTTACAAGTTATAGGTTTATATCATGGCCAGTAACGGCCCATGTAAATTTAGGCACATTATGAGACAGAATACCTTGAAAAGAATGTCTTAAATCAGGGGAACATCTTAGAGGGAGAGGGAGGATCCTTTGTCACACAGAACTGAGGAAGAATCTGTCCATGACAGACATAAAAAAAGAATCACTATAAAGCACATGATTCAAAGGCAGAAAGACATCTGAAAGAATTAAGGATGCCCTAAGAAAGAAGCTGTCTTGAAAGATGCAGTTTGGATCAGACAGCAAACATGAATGTTGAAGGGAATGACACCAGCTTAAGTGATTCAGGCTGGGACCTTCCAATGCAAAAATACCAAATCAACAGACTGCTAAGCCCTGTGAATGTGCTCTGCCCACAAAGTGGTAGCCCCAGGATAAGTCTGAAGGACTCCTGTTCTTATTTAGTAATACGCAAGTAAACCAGCTCTGCAGAGACCTGGGGTTAGCATTTTCAATCACCGAGGAGCCTGAAAGTCTTAGAGAACAAGAGGACAATTGCGAGATTTGAATCAAAACTAAAATGAAGCCCTGGTACCCCTGTGCTCATGATAAACTGTAAGAAGATTCAGCAGATAGGATGGGGTATGTTACCCATCACTGAATATACTGGCCTATACTGGCAATGGAAACATTTGGCAAGTATCAAGACAGTTGCTCACTCCTGCAAATGAATTTGGCAGCTGCATAAGATGATTTGAGAGTGTCTATAGGTAGAAAGGGCTGCAAAACTTCCATTAGGTCATCATATAGTCCTTTCTACTGACTTGACAGCAAGACAGCACCAAGTCATTCAATCTGCCTGTCTTTAAGAACCTGCTGCAGCAAAGGGTGGTGAGAAAGCTTTCAACTCCAGAGATTTCCCATAGGGACTGTTGTTTCATGGGCAACCTCTAAAGCTAAGGGGTGCAGTTGTTATTCATTTAGGAGAGGGTTGAAGATGACAAAGTTTTGTGAACTGAAAATTGCAAGACGACCTTACCTGGAAGTTAAGAGTGCTTAAATATATTTGCACCACATCTTTTAGAAATACTTTTAGATTATTTAAGTTGTATTTCAAATGGCTTTCTCATGTCAATTGATTTTTTTTTCCCTCTCATCTTCATCAACACTTTACCATCAATTTGTGCTTCCTTGTTCTTATCCTTGGTGTACCTGGACCTCTCAGACCATTCTTCTCCTTTCTCCTGTACAATTATTCTAAATCTC